CAAGAGGCAGCCCAATAAATAGGGTTTCAATTGTTAGTCATGCAATGTATTCTATCCCTATACCCCTTCCATCAAGCACCCCCAACCTCAACGCACAGCTGCAGATCTGCAGAGCAGAGTTCACTGGTGGCTTGGAACTAGCTGAGGGACCCCACTGGCAGGCAGACATATGTCTATCCTTGCAGGCAGGAGAAGTGGAGAAGCTTTCTTTTCTTTCTTTTTCATTCTTACCTTAAAGCATTCTTGGTTTGAATTCTTCACTTCAACTCCCCACTTTGCCGCTGAACTACTTGGTTAAGTCTGCAGGGCCTGTTGACATTGGGTTGTCTACATTAACTGCCAGAGCCACTTTAGTCACTGGAATATGATTAAATCTGAAAATTGTATTTGTACAATGATTCTTTCCATGTTTTCACATCTTTATGATGTGAATAAATATTTGTTAGACAGTGTCTACAGTGTTTCAAGTGCCCAGACAAAAATGGAAGCAGTTGGAACATGAAATCTAAAAATTCCAGATGTGTAGAGATATCTGGATATGTCACTGAAATTTTCAGATTTCATCCAGATTTTTGGTGTTATGGTTGTTTGTTTCTACAAAAGTCATACATTTATGGTACAATATAAATATGGATTATGACATTATATAGATTCAGCTTCCCATTAACCTAATTCACTGTGGCCACCTTAGGAAATTATGAGACTATAGATTCATATATAATTTGTTTTCTTCTCTAATGTAAAGCCTAGGAGACCAGATATTATACACATTAAATGCAAATGTGCAAAGTGCCTGGATTCCAATAACACCTCCACTTCCTATACAACTTCCTGCTAATGCTCACCCTGGGAGGCATCAGTTGATAGATGAATTACTTGGGTCCCTACCACCCAGGTGGGAGACCCAGGTGGAGTTCTTGGCTCTTGACTATGGTATGGCCCACTCCTGGCTCCTGTGGTTATGGGGAGTGAACCAAGAGATGGAAGATAATCTCTTTCATTCTCACTCTCTCATTCTGCCTTTCAAATGAATAAAAACAAATAATTTTTAAAAATTAAATGGTAAAATGTCATATGGTGAGAAAGAAAACCAATGGACATACTTTCTTTTAAATACAAAGTCGTATTCCTAAAATCCGTACCTTCTTCTTAGAATTTTCTCATGTGAAATTGCATATGACAGATGGATGCTGGTATTACAGAATTACTGTACCTCCTCTCCTAGAGAAGTACATAAGCATGGATTTCAATAACTCTATTCCTCCCGTTTTTTGTTTCCTGTCAAGATTATTTTGCATGAACGTTTCAGTCTTGGTGACAGTGATTATGATGATGACTTACATGTTGTTTTTTGTTTCCATCTGGAATGGTCAATGGAGAAAATATCCCTATGGAGAATCTTGAAAGCCTCATTATTCCAGTATCACAAATATGAAAATTGAGACAGAGAAAAGTGTGGTTTTCCCAAATTCACACAAAAACTCAGAAGTGAAGCCAAGAGTAGTACCCAGCTCATGTGCAACAGATCTAATGCAACCTGCACTGTCAAGCTCACATGGTGATTAGACTGAGTAGTGTAATTACCTAAAGTACAGGGCAGGAAAATAGCGCCCCACTTACCAACCCATTCACAGCAAGTAGAGGAATTACGTGAATGGGAGTCACCATATGGATGGTGCTCACGCATTGCACAATCCTGTACTTTACCTTCTTATCCTGAATGCTCTAAAAACAGGAGTTTGAGATAGAATTCAAATAAAAAAACCAAACCCCAATTCTGGAGCCAGATAAAGACATAGGTGTTTAAATCCTGCTGTTAGATTAAATCCTGGGGTTAGAGTTTCCATCTGTGTCATGTTCATGTAAACTTTACCTCAATTGTCTCATTTATAACATAGAAATAATGTTCACAACATGAGGGGAAAGTGTATTAGAAATAAAGCACAGGTAGCACATATGCTGTAACATGATGCATGCAGTGATCCTTATGAGTGGTAAGCAGTAATAATATGTCAGTTCTCATCAAATATTTTTAAATCTTTATTTGAAAGGCAGAGAATTACAGAGAGGCAGAGGCAGAGAGAGAGAGAAAGAGGGAGAGAGAGAGAAAAATGGAGAGAGAGAGAGAGAGAGAGAGAGAGAGAGGTCTTCCATCCACTATTTCACTCCCCAAATGGCAGCAATGGCCAGAGCTGAGCCAATCTGAAGCCAGGAGTCTGGATCTTCTTCTGGGTTCCCACATGGGTGCAGGGCCCAACAACTTGGGCCATCTTCCACTGCTTTCTCAGGCCATAGCAGAGAGCTGAATTGTAAGTGGAGTGACCAGGACTTGAACTGGCACCCATGTGGGATATTGGCACTTCAGGTGGCAGCTTTACATGCTATGCCATAGTGCTGACCCCTCACCACTGAACTTTAAATCAAATTTTTACTATATTGTATTATTTTTATCAAATGGACTAGTGTATAGATAGGTAATAAATGAGACATGATGTTAATTGAACCCAGCAGTGAAAGCAGTGACAATCCCTAGTTAAGAATCATCTCAATTTCAGTATTTAATTGTGTAAATGTCTAAGGAATTTATACTTTTATGAATCACGTGATTTGAAGGTTACAGACATAAATATGTCTTTGGAAATTTGAGTTATTTCTCAGCACATTCCCATTGTCACTGTGTATTCACAGAAATTGAGATTATTTCAAATATGAAAATGCAGAACATTCAAAATATATTTGGTGTAAAGAATGAAATATATTTGGTGGTGAAACAGACCTGTCCCTATCAGATACAAAGATCTGGTATAAAATTACAGCAAGAATGAAAATATTATGTTCTCACAGGTAAAAACTGACCCAGGGACAGAACAGAGTAAAGCAGAAAGCTGTGCATAGGAGGGGCCTTGAAAAGCTCATGGATGGGGCCAGTGCTGTTGTGCAGGGCATTGAGCCTCTGTTTGTAACACCAGCATGCCATGTGGAGCACCAGTCTGAGTTCTGGCTGCTCTGCTTCAGATTCAACTCCCTTCTAATGCACCTGGGAGAGCAGCAGACAATGCCCTGAGTACTTACTCCCTGCCATCCACATGGGAGACCCAGACGTGGTTGTGGGCTCATCTGACTGTTTGGGGGAGTGAACCAACAGATGGAAGATTTTTCTCTTTCTCTGTTTCTCTCTCTGTCTCCATTAGCATAACTTTCAAATAAATAAAATAAATCTTGAAAAAAAACCCTCAGAAACCTCTTGGAACACAAGAAGTTATCATTTAATTCCATTTTCTGTGAGCTTTTTGAAGCCACTTTCTACATGGAAGCTTTATTGATGATGGAATTGAAACAGTGATCACTGAGAAAATGGTGACTTTCGTAAAAAGCTACCTAGAACAACTTGTTCTTTTTAAATATTTATTTATTTATTTGAAAGAGTTACACAGAGAGAGGGGAAGCAGAGAGAGAGAGAGAGAGAGAGAGAGAGAGAGCTCTTCCATCCACTGGTTCACTTCCCAGTTGGCTGCAATGGCTGGAGCTGCACTGATTCGAATCCAGGAGCCAGGAGCCAGGAGCTTCTTCCCAATCTTCTCCATGGGTACAGGGGCCCAAAGACTTGGGCCATCTTCTGCTTTTGCAGGCCACAGCAGAGAGCTGGATCAGAAGTGGAGCAGCCAGGTCTCGAACTGGCACCATATGGGATGCTGGTACTTCAGGCCAGGGCGTTAACCCACTGCACCACAGCACTGGCCCCAAGAATAACTTGTTATTCACACAGAATAAATGGAAGCATTTGCTTTCCTCTGTATACTAAAATCAATACTTCCTGGTTTGACAGGTTCAATTTGAAATGCAAACCTTAAACTCTTTGAAAATGTAGAATACATTTGTGGCCTCAGCAGAGAGTATCCTTCAATAGCTCTAACCATTAAAGAAACAGTGTGTAAATATAAATACATTAAGAGCTTCTGATCATCAACAAATACTCCAAGAAAAGGGGAGGGCACAAACTGAGAGAAGATAGTAGCTTCCATACAACTGAAGGTATTAAATTAGGACTCAGGCATTTTAAAGTCCATAAAGAGCAAGATTAATTTTAAAAAGAATTCATACCAGATACAGGGAGGTATTTCATAGAAGCACTACAGTGGGCCATTATTTTTTTAAAAAAGAACGTTAATTTATCTATGAGAAATGAGAGAGAGAGGCCTTCCATACACTGACTCACTCCCCAAATGGCAGCACTTTCCAGGTGCAGCAACAGGGAGTGAATTGGACACAGAGCAGCCAGGACTCCTGGTGCTACAACATGGGACATGGACACCAACTCTGGATCCTAAACTCTTCAAAGATACTTGACTCCATTAGAAAACAGGAAAGGCAAAATAAAAGCACAGTAAGATAACATTTATTGTCATTGTGTTGTAAAAAAAAAGTTGAACCTGGTAAATCCAAATGCAGGCAAAGATTTGGGTGAACTTGAAAGTTTATGCCCTGGAATGAATAAGAAAACTAAACTGATACAACCTTGGGAAACATTTTTTTTTCACATTAGTGTGTTAAGATGAACATTTACATAACATTCAACCTATTGAAGCTCCTGGCTATGTATCCACATAGGTTCTATCACAGGTTTATCATGCAAGAGCAGAACCAAATACCTTGGAGACATCCTGAATGATAAGCCCTTTCTTGTCTACTTCTCTTTATTATTGTGATTTTTAATTTTTAAATCCACAAAGCAAAAACTGGGAGGTAATACTACAATGAATTCCCTTTGTTGTTAAATATGAAAGGTAATCATTTGTGTGCATCTTCTGAATGCTTATAAATTATTATCACAAACATGCAACCTGATTAAACTCAGGGTGGGATTATTTTTATATTTACCCTCTTCCATGGTGTCTTCGTGTAAACCTTTGAGAATCTGGTTCTCCTAGGCAGACCAAAAGGAGAAAGCACTTGAATTTAATGTTCTGTTTTGCTTCGTGTGTTTCCTTTCTTTGTCCAAGGTGAAAGTGTGGTTCCAGAACAGGTGGATGAAGAGGAAGAGGGTAAAATTGGGCCAGCTGGGCACTGCTGCCTGAGAAAAGGAACTGGTGAACGTGAAGAAAGGAACCCTGCTCCCTTCAGAGCTGTCAGGGATTGGTGCGGCCACGCTCCAGCAAACAGGGGACTCTCTGGACAATGAAGACAGCCACAACAGCTACCACAGCTCCGAGCATGCACACTTATGATCCACACAGACAGGACCAGATCCATCCTCAGGAAAGAAGCACCGTGATGGCAAGCCTTACCCAACAGAGTTTACACAGAGAGATGGCCATGGCCATGATTTTTAATATTATCAAATTCAGGCATCATGGGTCTGTTTTGCATGATTTATAGAGGAAGGAAGTGCCACTTATCAAAGATGTTTCCATGATGAAAATCAGAAGGTGAATTTGCTTTGAATAGTCCAGAGATGTTTGGTTGTGTGTATGACAGTGAGCAGGTATGTTTGCCTTTGCTTGCACTGAAAAATTAAACAGGTACTAAGAACAAATTATGACACATTTCTACACGAGATGCCTCCAGAGTGAAAACGTTGAAGATGAACTTACTTTACCCTCTCAGATGTACGAGTTCATGTTTATGACAGTGGGCAGGTATTTGCTTTTGCTTGTACTGAGAAATTGCTATCAAGAATAAAACATAAAACCTTTTATCCTGAACAGCCAAAGTGCCTGAGATCATTCAAGTAGATTTTAAAAAGGATGTAGTTTAACTCTGTATATATTATTCTTAAGTCATTTTCCTGTCTTCACTAATTTTAGCAATTCATTCATATTAGCTGATGAAAATAGGCACTGATAATGCCAGCCAGGCCAGCTTCCTGCCTTTTTATGCATGTGTCATTCTGAGACAATCCGTATGCACTTACTTGTGTACAAGTAGAGAAAAATACAGTAGTCTAATACGACATATTCTTGTACCACAGACAAAACAAATGTTATGTTGCATTTACTATCACTGCTGCTAATACGTTATTATACAACTTACCTAGCTCCTCCTTGATTTATCCTATCTTGTAGCTTGAAAAAAAAATAGGATCATAGGAAAATCAGTTACCTTGTGGAAGGAGCTTTGTTGTGGCAGACACTGTGATTTTATTTCTATAAAATTAAAGCTGTTATGAATATGACTTAATTAACAAGAAAATGTTTCTTCCTTCTTAGAAATGGTGTCAGACAAGGAGCAAAGACAAATGGGCTCCCCAAGGGGATAGACAAAACAATTCTGAATGTCTTCAAATTAAATTCAGTAAAAACACATTATTTTTTAATATGTGATGTATTCTTGCAGAACAACCATCTTTGTATTTTGTGAAAAATGTTTAATAAATGATCCTTTATAAATAATTTTGGTCTCCCCATTGTAATTTCTTTAATTTCTATAGATTTTAATATTCATATCTAAGAGTGCCCCAGACTCATCTGCTCTGTACTAATTCAGATCAAGATCATTAATGAGTCACAGGTTTTCATTTGTAGATTTATTATGGCAAGAAAAAAATCAATCCTTGGGTGATCAAAGAGAATCTAAACATCATCATACAGTAAACCATTTTCTTAATTTGAAGAATATGGCAAATGAATGTTTTTGTGTGTTTTACAAAGCAAAGATAAAAGGGAACAGGTAACACTAACTGCCACAACTAATAAGTAAAGTAGTCATATATTTTAAAATTTATGTTTAACATATGTGAATCAATCCAATAGTTGTTTTAAAGTCACATCAACCAGAGTCCTTGATGTTACCATGAGCTAGCCAATCAGAATCTTCATTGGAATGGACACCACAGGTATCAGAAGTCAACGACTATAGGCCGGCGCTGTTGCTCAATAGGCTAATCCTCCACCTGCAGTGCCAGCACACAGGGTTCTAGTCCCAGTCAGGGTGCCAGCTCTGTCCTGGTTGCTCCTCTTCCTGTTCAGCTCTCTGCTATGGCCCAGGAAGGCAGTGGAGGATGGTCCAAGTGCTTGGGCCCTGCACCCACCCAGGAGACCAGGAGAAGCACCTGGATCCCGGCTACTGTGGGGGTGAACCAATGGAAAAAGGAAGACCTTTCTCTCTGTCTCTCTCTCTCTCACTGTCCACTCTGCCTGTTAAAAAAAAAAGTCAAGGATTGTATTAACTTAATACATTTCATGTCATGCATGGTTGCACATGCATTGGATGCCTAAGACCTACTTACAGCAATATCATGTTATTTTTTAACTGTTCCACATTTAACCAGAAGAATTTGGAAACATTACCATCATTCCTCCTTCCTCCATAGAAATAAACAGAAAAATAATTCATAAACATTTCCAAATTACTCATTATTTGATTTTGTTTCAGAATGATTAGATTGACAAAAATATATTGATTCTATTCTTAGTCTAGCAAGACATATATGAGTATTCAAGAAATAAAGTAAATTATGTATCATATTTTCTCTTTGTGAAATACATTTTATCACACTGGTAAACAATATATCTAATTTAATTTTGGGGAGATCCTGTTCAAATTGAAGGTACAAAACATACTTCTCTATCACTTGAAGGAATAAAAATTATGCTTGTATTGAAGATATCTATTTCTTTTTGTAGAATAACTCTGCCTCTCAAAGAAAATAAATCTTAAAAAACAATTCTATAAAACTATTCAGTTAACATTTGAGGTAAGTGATACTTAGGTGAAAATATGATGTTTGCAATATAAATACAAACAATTGGCATAGTTATTATTTGAACCATCTGGGGAACAGTGTATTTTGCTGTCAGTTCCTAATGCTGCATTCTGTTTGTAAAAAGCAATTCAGAAATAGAAAGAAAGCCATTGAGAATTTAGCATGAGAGCGGTAGTTTAAACATTCCAAACCTGAAAACGTTTGAAGTCTGCAGAACTGATCTGCAAATGCTCTTGAGAAAGTGGTGTTTGTTGTGGTGGTTGTGGTTGTTTCCTGATTTCTTACCAAGAACTGGCCAGGAAAATTGAGTAATAATTCTATCACGTGTACCTCAACGTTCAACTTTTGCCAAATAATGCTAACAGGAGTGGACAAAGGAACAAACGTGGTCCCAGAAAAAATAGATTGCTACATCAAGTTTTGAGAGCCTATTAAAAATTCAATAAGAATTTTTGAAATAAATCTAATAATTCTCTATTACCATGTGTTTTCTCAATAATCTCATTTTGACATTTGATATGCTTAAAGATATACATTTAAAAATTAAAAATAGTTTTTCTTGTATGACTTATTTCCCACCTTTAGTAACTTTTTAAATTAAATCTGGTTTCAAACTGTGATCAAGAATTCCAGAAAATATTTTATTATATCATGGTTAGTAATTCCCCATTAAAATATTGTTTACTGTGGGGAGCAGCCCGGACTGGACTGAGTTACTGGAATTAAGACTTATTCTATGCATCTGCTCTCCCACAATATGGCGCTGGGAGAGAAGTAAACAGCTTCCACACAGCTGCCTCCAGTTCAACCAATAAACTGTAGGACTTGCTCCTGATTGGAGGAGAGCAGCGTACTCGGCGTGTGGGCAGCCGAGTTGGGATTGGCAGAGGAGGACTATAAAGGAGGAGAGAGACGGCATGCACCAGGAACATCTAAGGGGAACATCTAGCTGAAGGAACACCTGTGCAGCCCCCAAGAGAGCCGGCCGGCGGTGTGCCGCTCCCCTGCGGAAGTGGGGAATGTGGCCAGGGGGAACTGCCCTTCCACGGAGGTGGAAGGGATAGTAGCCAACCCGGGAAGAACCAGCAGCAAACCCGGGGAGGGCCGAGCAGACAAAAGAACAGCGCAGGGTCCTGTGTCGTTCCTCCATGAAGATGGGGAGCGACATAATGGTGCCGTGACTCGGATATGAAGCCTAGGCAGGGTTTAGTGTCGTTCCTCCACGAAGAGGGGGAGCGACATAATGGTGCCGTGACTCGGATATGAAGCCTAGGCAGGGTTTAGTGTTGCTCTTCCACGAAGAGGGGGAGCGACATAATGGTGCCGTGACTCGGATTAGGAAACCTAGGACGGATAGGAAACTTAGGAGGAAAGAAATGGGAAAATACCGGAGAGAGAGACTAGCAAACAGCCTAGGGAAAAGCCGGACGAGAAAGGTGCAGGAAGAAACTATTGAAAGCCTAGGCATAGACTCGGATACGGACTACGGGGGGAAGCTGAGAGAAATCTCTAAGGTCGAAAGCGAAAGTGAAAGCTAGAACAAACAGACTCGGATACGGACTGTGGGGAGAGGCCAGGAGAAATGAGGGAGGAATATTGTTGGAGGAAAGCTTGGGGAAACATACCGGGTAGAGAAAAATGTTAGGGAAATTGAAGCCGCGGGGGGCAGGCTGAGGCGGAAACGAAAGCCACTTTGGGATTCTCAAGTTAGCCCAGGAATAGGGGGCGAAAAGTTAAAACCAGAAGCGGAAACGTAAGCCTGGTTGGGATGCGTCTGATTAGCCCGGGGAGCAAAGGACGGGAAGCCAAACCGTGGGGCGGGGACGTAAGCTGGGTTGAATTCGCCAGGCTAGCCCGGGGAACTTGGATTGAATGCTAGTGGCGGAGACGAAAGCTACGCTGTGTGACTCGCGGAAGCCGCCGCGTGCAGAGAGAGCACGGGGCGTGAATAGATAGGGAACGCGGGGCTGGCGCGAGGCTGTGGTTCAGACACGAAAGGGCTAGTGAGAGACCGCGGAGTGTGCGTGCGAAGCGAAGCCGCGCAGATAAGAGAAGCGGGCTGAAGCGGCTCAGGGCCGGAAAGCCACCGAGAAGCAGCCTCGGGGCGGGCACCGGAAAGCCGCAGGGATAAGAGAAACAGAAGTTTAGAAGTAAAATGAGAGAAATAGAAATGCTGGAAGATAGAAGTAAAATGGGAGAAATAGGAATGCCCGGAGATAAATAGAGAAATAGAAAGGCCTCCCCTCAACATGGCAATGAGAAAGCTTGGATTCGGTCTGCCTGATTAGGGAGGCGGTGAGCACCTGCGGGCGGCTAGCAGCTTATGCGCCGCAGGTCACTGAAGACAGGCACGAATTAACATCAATAAGGCCTCCCCACAACACTGCAATGTGAGAGCTTGGATTCGGTCTGCCTGATTAAGTGAGGCGATGAGCACCTGCGGGCGGCTAGCAGCTTATGCGCCGCAGGTCACCGAAGACAGGCACGAATTAACATCAGTAAGGCCTCCCCACAATACAGCAATTAGGAGGCTTGGATTCGGTCTGCCTGATTAAGGCGGTAAGCACCAGCAAGCGGCTCGACCAGAGTGTGAGCCGCAGATCACCGAACACAGGCACGCATCAGCGCCTAAAAACCTCCTCACAACATGGCGAAGAGAGGACCCGGATTCGGTTTGCCTGATTGATAGGACTTGTAAGAACCTGTGGCAACTCTAGCAAGTAGAGCAGAGTGTGTGCCGCAGGACACCGAAGACAGGCGCGTATCAACGCCAAAAAATAAAAAGAAAGGGGGATCTGTGGGGAGCAGCCCGGACTGGACTGAGTTACTGGAATTAAGACTTATTCTATGCATCTGCTCTCCCACAATATGGCACTGGGAGAGAAGTAAACAGCTTCCACACAGCTGCCTCCAGTTCAACCAATAAACTGTAGGACTTGCTACTGATTGGAGGAGAGCAGCGTACTCGGCGTGTGGGCAGCCGAGTTGGGATTGGCAGAGGAGGACTATAAAGGAGGAGAGAGACGGCATGCACCAGGAACATCTAAGGGGAACATCTAGCTGAAGGAACACCTGTGCAGCCCCCAAGAGAGCCGGCCGGTGGTGTGCCGCTCCCCTGCGGAAGTGGGGAATGTGGCCAGGGGGAACTGCCCTTCCACGGAGGTGGAAGGGATAGTAGCCAACCCGGGAAGAACCAGCAGCAAACCCGGGGAGGGCCGAGCAGACAAAAGAACAGCGCAGGGTCCTGTGTCGTTCCTCCACGAAGACGGGGAGCGACAGTTTACTTTTTAAAAAATATAGTTTTCAGAAACAGTTCTTAAAACAAAATGAATTTTCAAAGATAATTATTGTCATATCCAGTTCATGTTAGGGGCTTTATTTTGTATTTCTGCCCTTTTGGAAATGGTTCATTGAGATAAACATTCATTTCCTTTATTTAAAGACTAATCACATGATTTTGGAACACATTTTTGTAGAA